CAATTATATGTATATATATAATTTTGGTGGTTTTTGAAGTTACATGGTTCAAAGGCCATAAAAGAATAAAAGATTAGTAATTATTTTGCCTAAATTTTCCTTTTGCAAATGAGATCATAAAGCATTGTAAGATGCATTCTACAGGTTTCCAGGTAAGAAGGGAGTGCTGATAGAATAAAAGCAGGTTAATAAAGGTCACAAGGAGGTAGCATACATTCTGATTGTAAACATCATTTACAATTTTGTTTATTAATTTTTTTAGAAATGTATGAGTTTAAAGATGAGAAAGGATGGGGATGAAAGAACATGGCAGTATGAATATAGAGAAGAAAAATACTGGGGAAGGGTAAGCAGAGATGGGATAGAGGAATGGGGAGGCAGGGGGAAAGAGACAAAGGGTTAACCAAAACGAAAGGTATGTGAAAATGCCATAGGAAAACCTACTATTTGATGAACCAACTAATAAATACGGGAGCTAGAAGGATGGTAGCCTGCATGGCTGAATAATGCTGCACCTAAAAGTCCTGGGTTATTAAATACAAATTCCAGGTCTGTTCCAGGTGAGAGATTCCTGTTCATGCGTTGTTGGTCAAGGAGGCCCTAGATGCTTACAAAACAATACAGGAGCCTGAGAGTCCCCTTGGTTGTCCACCAACACTATTCAATAAGACCCTGGTAATGAAGACACCACACACTTTGGGTACAAAATACAGAGAAATCAAATGAACTGAGTTGGAAACTTCCAACTGGGCAGTTTTCATAGGGCTGAGAGGTTCAATGCAGTCTATCGGAAGAATATGCACCAGTGGTTTTACCTAGCTGAGAAGTCTATGTAATACAATACCAGCCTGTCAGGCAAGATGTGCCCACTGGTGCAATAGTGGCATGACTGTTATGGGGGCAACCAAGCAATCTGATTGATTTTGAGGCCCACTCCACAAGAGGGAATTCATATCTGGCACTATATATATGGTGGGGCTGGAGAGATGGCTCAGTGGTTAAGAACACCGACTGTTCTTGCAGAAGACCTGGGTTTGAATCCCAGCACCCACATGGTAGCTAACAACTGTCTGTAACTGCAGTTCCAGGGGATCCGACAGCCTCTTCTGTCCTCCGCAGGCATTGCACAACATGAGTGCACTTACCTGCATGCAGGCATAACACTCATATACATAAAATAAAAATAATAAATAAAATACTTTTTAAAACCCATGGCTGAGAATGTCTTATACCTTAGGGACTATTGTTTCACTAAATTGACACAGTACCAGGCTGCCTTCCAAATACTTATATTTGAATCCATATACAAATTCAACTCTTACTCTTCATCAGAGAAACTTCTCTTTGTAATGGATGGCTGCAAATCTTGAGATGCATGGCTGCTGAGGTGCTGGGGATAAGTGATGTAAGTGCTTAGTCCTAAACAGGACAAGTGTAGCACCCTTCCCAAGACTCGGGGAACAAAGCTGAAGATGGGCAGAAAGATTGTAAGAGCTGGAAGACAGGGAGAAGAGCTGTGAAATGTTGTCTTCTGGGTACAACACAGCCAGTACAATCATGATTTCACAGTGGCAGTGGCTGCCTGCAATAGGCCTGCATAAGGTGGGACCTGTTAACTGTCAATCCTAGATTGAGGCAGGGCCCACAAGGCCATTATCACTCCCTGTTGAACTGTGGGCTACTGACAGATTTGGGGGTAGTGGTAGACATTTAGTTGTATACCCACTGGTGAACCCACCGTGCTCCAATGGATAATTTCAGACCCCTGGTCACAGAGGCAACTCTGGTTAAATTCTGGGTCACAAAACAAAACAAAAAAAATGAATGTGGGAAAGTAACATAGAGATTAAAAGAGGTTAACAGTAATCAGAATGTGCTGTATACATGCCTGAAGTTGTCAAGGAGTGAATTTAATGAAACATTTTTTAGAAGAGGAGAAAAGAGTAAGGCTAAACTTAACAGTCATCATACATTTGGACCAGCTTCTTTAGTTGTTTTAGTGTCATTTGGAATACTCTCAGAAGAGGGAACACAGCCCTTTGTAGAAGATTTGTTCAGCTCTACTGGAATTCTTGATTCTCTGCTAGCAAGAGACTTAAACCAGAACCTAGTGGCAGGGGACTTCTTTCTTGTCCCATGTCCCCTTAATTTTCCCTGACTCCTATCCTACCTCTACAGTGTCCCTAACTTTGACTATCTACAAATAGGTTTGCTTAGACTTACTTAAATTAAAAAACGGTTTTTCCTTCTGTGAGAACTGAGGGGGAATTAAGAAAAGGCACATATATGAAATAATTATATATTTGAATCAAAGTAAAGACCAGTCATAGGTTGTAAGTCTTGTCCTAGCAAACAAAGTCTCTAGGACAGCTGTTTATTTTTTTCCCCAGTGAGAATTGAGTAAGAATCAAAGAAATCTCATACATTAAAACCCTTTCTACCTCTTTCACCCTCGCCAACCCCCATGTCTCCTGGGGATTGAACCTAAGGCCTCCGGTGTGACAGGCAAGTGCTCTCAGTTGTTTCCTCACACCTCTCCTTCTTATTTTACTTTTGTATTTTATGCATGTGTATGAGTGTATTGCCTGCATGTATGTAAATACACCCATGTCATGCAATGCCTACAGAAATCAGAAGATGGCGTCGGGTTCCCTGGAACTGGAATTAGGGACAGTTGTCAGCCACTGTATGGGTGCAGGCAATTGAACTTGGGTCCTCTGCAAGAGCAACTAATGTTCTTAACTATTAAGCCATCTCTCCAGCGCCCTGTTTAACTTTTTGAGACAGGATTACACTAAATTGTGCAACCTCCTGCCTCAGTCTCCTGAGTAGTTGGGATTATAGGCCTATGCTACTTAGCTCTAAATCCTTTTATTTGGGGGAGGGTTGTTGGGGGTGGTGTTGGGGGAATGTGATCCTCCTCGTGATTACATGGCAAGTACTGTGTGTGTATGTGTGTGTGCGTGTGTGTGTATACACCTGTGGTGGAGGCTAGAGGTCACTATTGGGTGTCTTCAGCTGTTCTCTTACAGTATTTTTTGAAACAGGATCTGTCATTGAACCTAGAGCTTGCTGATTCTGCTAGACTGGTTGGCCAGCAAGTCCCAGGGATCCTCCTGTCTCTGCCATGCTGCAGCACCGAGGTTACAGATATGTACCACCCTA